AAAAACTTGTGATGAGCCTAATGCTGGCCCATCTCCAAATACTAACAGTTGTGAACCAGGGGACAGGGAAGCGTCAGACAGAACCTTGTCAAAGGAGACACCAGTATCCTGGCCCTCGTCCATTCACCCACAACTATGCCAGGCACAGATTATTTCAGAAAACAATTCAAATATATGTCATTATCCTTGTGCTGAGCGTGAATCACCTTGCAGGGATCAGACACCAAAGCTGTTCACATCATCACCAATCTGTCATCAACTCAGCTTGTCCGGTGCACTCTTCCCAAACAGTTACTCCCCCTACTCTTGTAATGGCCAGCTTCACGACCCCTCCTTGGATGTGGACGGGCCCCCATTTCTGAACAATTACGAGGCCATGGGACAGCACAGACTGTCTGGTGGGCATGAGTTCATCAAGCGCTCCTCTTCTCTGTCCCCACCCTCCATCCTCCCAAAGTCCGTACCCCCACGAAGTTTAACACCACTGCTGTCTCCGAACGAAGCACACGCAAGACCTCGTATTTCGCGACCCTACCCATTGATGTCCCCACATCAGCTCAACAGACAACAAGCTCATTCGCCAAACAATTTTGTCAACCCATCACATTATTATCATCATCAAAATTCTTATCACGACAGTTTTCCACATGACCACTGCAACATTCCAGTCCGCCGACTTCAGTTCAGCAATCATGTTATGGAGCCCAAACAGGCTCATCTCCCCTCGCACCCCATAAAACATGAACTTTGTGAGGACGAGCCTGAGGATCTGTCCATGAAGCCGGCTGATAAAAGAGAAAGCACAAATTATTGGCACCAACAGGAATTCAGTAGTGAAATGTTAAAATCAGCCATAAATAGTCCACAGGGGATACCACCCAATGGTATCAGGGGAGGCTATGGGAAAGGTTCTCCTGCTGAAAAATTACATACTTCAAGTGGCATGGATGCACCTGGTTGTTTCATGGAGCAAAGTTGTCGAACAAGTGCTTAAAGTAGTGAGGCTTTGATTTGAAATAAACAAATATTAGCTGAAATAAATAAAGTGTTGACGTGAAAACAAGGACAATGCTCAATTTTGTTTGCGTAAGCTCACATTCTAACGGTTAACTTATGCTGTTTTTGCTTGTTCAGTCAAACAGGCTTGAAGATAGATGTACTGGTTTAAAAAAAACAAAAAAACTCTATACCTATAACCACCAAAGAAAGTTTTGATAAATAAGTTGTTGCACTATATAGCTTTTGTAAAGCTGGGACAAGTTGACAGTTTAATTGTGTGTTGTTTGAGGTATCCGAAGGAAAGTCAGACAAGCGGGACACTGTACTCTGTCAATAAGACTACCCAATGAGACTGCTTGGTTTAAAAATCTTGAAAAAGTAATAAAAATGAGAATAAAGTTGGATCAGTGCACAACAGGACCCAAACACTCACCATCTGCCCATGCAGGGCCCACAAGTGATAACGATGTGCTTACTTAAAAACCAGGCTCTTGTGTACTATAGTCTTATGATAACATTTTTAAATGTTCAAATGCGTAAAACAAAAAATTGTTATGGTTCCTTAAATGTGGATAGGAAGTTTGTCAGAACACAATGTTCTATCATGTTGAGAAGTGTTGCAACATGATACAACTCATCAACTTTGTTAAAAAATGATTGATTTGTCATTTATTTTACTTGTTGATAAAGCATTGTGGTCATCATAATTAGTTTTAATATAATTTTTCCACCCACTTTGAGAAATTTATGTTATGCTCTGAGTGATGATTCCAGCTGTGTCTTTTCCAGTGCATTAAATTAAATACAAGTTTGATTTTAAACTATTAATTTTTACTTTTCCTACAGTATATATGCTTGAATTTTGATCAATCATGGTTTTTGAGCATATTGAAATTATCCATTTTCAAATGATAATTACATTGAGTTTGACACATTTTTATATCGCATTTTATCTTGATCTCAGTCAAGTGAGTGAAACTCAATTTTTAAAGCCAAAAATACAAATAGTAAAATATTCAACTAAGGTGTTGAACTAAGATTTTGATTATATTCAGCAATAATAATTTTTTTTGTTCCTCCCTTTTCTTATTTGGTGATGACCTAAAAATTATTTTCTTATTTTCAACTTATTTTCAAATTATTTTCAACTACTGGTACAGAATAATTTAGAATAAATTTTTTTTTTACTCCATCATCCACAGTTAATCAATGTTTCTTCGTGAACCTATCAAATAAAAATGTTAATTTTTTTCGAAACAAAATGAAAGATTTGATTATGTTGTTTCAGTTTGTACATAGAAATTCTCAACACTCCATCCTTGGCAGCTAAAGGACATTTGGTATTTTCCAATTCAGCCTCTATTGTTTTTATAAATCAAGTGCTTTACCTCAATGCCTCTTGTTTCTAGCTATATCCGTGTTAGTTTTCTTTGTGTGCATAATATGGCTCAAATGTTTGGTTAAGTCTATTCCAAAGTTAAAAATAAATATGCTGTTGTGGCAAATGCAACTGATGTGCGATTTTGATAAATAGAAATATTGTAACTCTTTTCAACACTGGATCTTTGAAATTGTCACATGGGCATTTGATCCTGAATAAACCTAAATTTGCCACAAAATGATTTCAGTATTCTACCAGTAGAAGACTACAACCTTTAAATTTAATTACTGTGACTGTGAAGAGAAAAGAGCAGGACAAATGTAACTAGCTCTCTGTAAAGAATCAGCCTTAGTAATTTCTTCAAAAGTTAAAACAGTTTATTTATTTTTTTACCAGTAGGCCCTACATATTAATACAATCTGTAAATGTAAAATGCATCTTTATCAGGAATTATTCATGCATTGATGAAGGCCAAATTATATATATTTAAAATAAAATGTATATTCCTTTTATACAAAAAGAACTGAAAGCTTCAAAATTGAGGGTTCTCACATCCCTTTCATTTAATTTCCAGTGCCTAAAACTATAAGTGCTATGTTCTTATTTTAACTAATGCCCGGTAATATAAATATATGGTGATCTGGGAAATGATGTGGTGTGAAGTGTAAATAGATTTTCCTGTCTTGTTAAAAATATTGTGATTACCTGTACTCTATTTGAGTGGGGGTTCCCCAGAGCGCTGCCATGGTTTTATTATTTTTTTAAAATTGTGATACTGGTAATTTGAATGCTGAATGTATTGATATATTGTTCATATTGGTTCTTGGTACTCTTGAGGCTGGACATCTCAACCTCATATGTTGTTCTGATAACTAAAATCATAAAAGGACCAGTGACAGGTAAAGAAGAGGACGTTGCCCGTTACACTTTTTAAACAAATATTAATTAATTAATTTCTTTTACACACATTTCAAATTTTTATTTTAAATGTAGGTCTCCCTTCCACATAATAAGGTATATAGCATCCCTGTCCTTTTTCAGAGTGGTCCAATTTTAAGTTTTGGCCCCCAATATGAAGAGGAGATAATATGAGAATGTTGCAGCTTCATCAAATATTGTTTTAAAAAATTATTTATAACTGTCCCGTTTGTAAAATGAGCTTAAGTCCCACTTAATTCTGAAATGATTGTGAAATATCAAATGTGATTTTACATTGCGTATGTATTTTACTGCCACGTTTCTCTGATTCAAATTTCTTAATTGTATACTCAAGAATTATTTGCCAATGTTGCCTCCCTGCGACAAATTTTTGTTGGAAAAGTTTTTCATACCGGTTTAATTGTATTTATTTTGTTACAGCACTAATTTTTAGTGGTGATTTTTATAGAAATAAGAAAAGCCATTTACATTGGGACTCAAAAACTACAAAGTTTCTTTTACGCCATACAGAAACTTTAGAAATCATTGACTTAAATTATCCCATCTATCTCTATTCAAAACTATGTTGCAATGTTGTGTTATAAAAGCTTGATCTTGGATATTGTTTTTTTGTTATGCTCACTCATACTCATTTGTTAGGGTTGTATATTTTCAGCCTAGACGTAATCAATGATAATCTGAGAGCATCTCTCCTGCCCAGGTGATATCAGATGTGTTCTCCAGGCAAGATCAGAGTCACCTAATGTTCTACATGAAACTGTTCTGTGTGCCATGATAACTGGTCTGTGACCAGATAATTACTGCTCAGATGTTCAGTTCAGAAAGCAGTTTTGTTGTGACAACAATGTTTAACATTTCTGCCAAGCATAAATCTCATAGTTCATGTGTTATCTATAAATGTTAGTTACAACACTATTTCAATATTTGTTTTGCTATGTCTATTTGTCGAATGAAATCAATTATCCAGATGTTCCATAAATAAATAATGCTCAGTTGTAATGCTCCTGGTCTCTTTTAAGTTTGTACATTTGAAAGGGTTTCCCCTTTTCTTTACCAAGCAAGTTGGAACAAGAAGTGATTTAAAGCTTAATGAGAATCAAAGCGATTTCCACACTCAAACGTGGAATCATTGATGAAAATAACCACAATGACATCGCTCATAGGTTTCCTTTACAATATTCATCGCTTTAAAATACATTCAAGTACACACCACTATTGCTTAAGCAACAGTCAGAGAGTAATGCATGTTCCAAATCTGGTTACATACAAGCTGTGAAGAAATATTATACACATTCAAATCTTCTCAGCTCAAGTGATTTAAAATTAGCAGAATCAATGTAATCATAATCAAGCAAACAAAGAGCACTTGTAAAAGACTTCTACCGGTAATCCCTGGTTAATATTAATATTAAGATTTCAAGAGAAGCTTGTAACTTACAATATTATTGCACGTAATAAGAGTAATCTACATACTTTTTTTAAAAATAACATCAAAAACCTCTTTCTATGAAATATTATCAACACTACGCTAAAGGTGGTTGCATTGTTATGGTTTCAGATACTCTTCAGTAATCAATGATAAAAATGTTTACCCTCTACCCTCTGTTTACCCCAGGCATTTAACAATAGTTGAACTAAGCAAAAAAAGAAATATAAAAATTAACAAAACCAACAAAAAAAATGTTTTTCATTACAATTGTTTATTACCAACGTTAAAACCTGAATTGGTCAGTAAAATCAACAAAGCAATACCCAGTACATAAAAGGTTACGGGAGAGGAAAACATGTATTTGTTACCTGTCCCAACTCAAGGGTTATCAAACAGATACCAATATTTACGTCTTCATGCTGAACTTGTCAAAACCAGATACAATCCTAAATCTTTCAAATCTTGCTCATAAACAGATCTTTGAAGAAACCATTTGTTTTTGTTACATTAAATTTTAACATCTGCAGATGGATCTAAGCGCACTCCTAATACAATATGTTCAACAAATTTGATGAAGAGTTCCACAATCAAAACCTCAACTAACGGACACATTAAAAAAATTTTTATGAGGGAGGTGGCGGGGGTGGCGGAGGTGCAACAGGGGCCAACATGCCGGTCATTGGTGGTGGGGGTGGAACGGGGGGAGGGGGAGGAGCCGTCATCCCCGGTGGTGCGGGAGGGCGGAGGACGGGTGGTGGCGGGGTGATGCCCGGTGGCATCGGAGGTGCCGGAATGCCAGGAGGTGGGGGCATTCCCATCGGAGGACCTGGGGGAGGGGGAAATCTCACACCGAATGGCATCATTCCTCCACCCGGTGGCATTGGTGGTGGTGGCATGCGAGGAGGAGGTGGTGGCCCGCCCATGATAGAGGGTACAGATGAAGCTGGCTGTAAAGGTTTTGGACTGGAGGCCCTGGTACCTTTCGGGTCGACCTTAAAGGCAAACTGCAGAAAAAACTGGTGAAAAGAAGTAAATTCATCATCAGTATGGTGTCTTTTACTTGTAATATTACTTCTAAAAAGGTGTTTTAAATTTCAGTTTTAATGAAATCCAGATAATTTAAACATTGAATAAAATGTTGACTAAACTTGTTAAACTCAATATTATTCAATACAAAATAAACTATGATTTAACTCATAGCCATGGTCTTATAGGAGTCTAATTTATTTTTTTAATTAATAAAATGAAATGACCATTAAGAAGATACGTACATTTCAATTTTCAACATTTTATGCTTTTTAATTTTAGAAAAGAATTTCCCTCTATTCTACAATTACTAATATTAGAGGATTCAACTACCTGCTTGGTTTCTTTATTCCAATGAGTCCAAAGCTTCCTAGGGTCTTTGTCCACTTCTCTGCTTGGTACCTAGAAGAAAGAAAATTAACTATTAAATATTCAATTTCCTTTTCCTGATAACCTCCACAAGCTGTAAATGGGTAAAAGGAAGAGGAGTGTTTGAAGCAAGCAGGGGTATTAAAAATCTTTGTGCTTTCTAAAAATAGATTTCATAGGCCTTTTCAGATCCTATAAAATATGTTGAAATCTAATGTTGCTGTCAGGAACAGTTGAGCACGCATTCTTATTTTGTAACTAATTACTTTTCTTCGCTTATGCATTCACTGTGGAACAGCCGAACGAAATAATGTCATACAGCACAAAGCGAGGATTGAATTAAATTGTTGCGAGGGCAAATACACTAATATTACAGTTGTTGTGTCTAGCGAGTTCATTATGAAAATACAAATCAATAATATGACCTTCAGTGTTCATTTTATGGGCTTAAACATTTTGACACTCCCCCCCCCCCCCCCCCCCCCCTCTCATATAAAATCTCCAAATCTCCTAAATCAACAACACCACCCACTCTCCCTCTCAGGGCAAACTAATATAATTATAAATATTGTATTTCTTGAACCATTCACTGCTGGATGTAGAAAGGAGCTAAAACTAACAAATGAAAGGCACTTTTTTAAAATTGTTTTTAATGGGGGAAAAACTACCAGAATGTATATATTTTCCACAGGATCTCTTAAAATAGTAGATCTGACAAGCGTACAGTTGTAAAAGATATCAAAATCGTACATTGTACGCCAAAATCTTTAGAGTAAACAGGTCAGCAATACCGTAACACTACAGTTTTGTAAACGATGTTGGTTTTACTCTGCAACAGGGCTGTTACAACAATTCTAAGTTTTTTCTTTCAAAAGCAGCTGATGGTTGAAATATAAGCCATGAAGACAGCTACCTTGAAAGCTATTGTTTCATATGGTTCAGCAGCAAATAAAAGATATTGCCATTTCCTATCAGGGGGCTCAATCCTCTGTTCATATGCTGCCATGAATCGGTAGCGGGGCTGAATGGACTCAACTATCTCAGGATAATCAATCTGGATAATCAAGGTGCAAATAGAAAAAAATGAGCACAAAAATCTTAATCTCAACTATTAAAAGATAATTTAGATCATCAAAAGAAAAGTAGTACAAAATAGAATAATAATTTAAAAATATAATTAAATTTAATATTTATTTATTTTACAGATAGTGTAAAGGAATACAATTACCTGGAATAGTAGAGATTGTTGCATGGACTCTGGATCTCTCTGTTTTGTCACTGTAAGAGAAGGACTGAATGTTATGAGAACATAAAACAAAGTAATTTATAAGAGATAGTCTGAATGTAATGAGAAGCAGAAGAAAAAGTCAAATGTAAGAGAAAGTCTGCAATTTATGAGAAGCAAAAGAAAAATCCCTGTAATAAAGTCTGAATGTTCTGAGAGTATAAAAAAAATGTCATTTTTAAGAGAAAGTGCTTAAGAGCATAAAACAAAGTCATTTGAAAGAGACAATCTGAAGCGTATGAGAAGCAACAAGAAAAAGTCAATATTGGAATAGGTCTAAGTGTTATGAAAAGCCTTAGACAAAAATGTGTCCATATATTTTGTGCTGTTGAGGTAGGTAAACAATAAAAGCAAATGAGAAATAAGTTCTAACTTGTGACAATGATGGTCATGGCGTTTTTAAATACTTTAATAGAATTACGACACCTAAGTAACATATATTATTTTTTGTGAACAATGATATTTAAATTACATTGTGTTAAGCACTTTCTTCTCCAGGGCATCATAAAAGAGTACTTTATTGTCATATACCTCACAGTTCTGCAAACAAGGGGAAGTGTATAGATGGAAAGTCCGATCTAGCCTTTTTTAAATAAAAATCCTACCCTTGTAACCAGGTCTGCCAATCTTGACAAAGCGCCTGATGTCGACTTTTGGCCTCTCTGGGGCAGGTTGTGCAGGAGCATCCTTAGCTTCTTTGGCTGCACGACGGGCTCTTAAAGAAATTATACATTTTTTAATACATTTACAAATGGAAATTAGTCATTATTTGCAAAAAAATGATAAGAAAGTTAAATATTTATAATTATAGCTTTATTTTAGTGACATATTGAGATAAAAGAAGCGTCTGGTCACTAAAAGCATTGCCATTTATAAATTCTAATTTTTTACCTTTGAATAAGGATTAGCGTTTTTATTTTCTTACTCACTCATAGTAAACTCTTTTTTTTTATATACAATATAAGAAATAAAGAAATTTTTAAACAACATAATTTAATTAAACAAAAACATAAAATCATGAAAATAAAATGCAAATATTTTTTTATCAATATTTTTGGATCAGTAGTTAGAAATAGTTGTAGTGACTCTTTAATTTCCTTAACTTACAAGTTACTCTGATGTTTCTTTCCTTGTGTGTGGGCCAAATAGCTGCCCTGAGAACAGATAAATAAACAAGATGATGAGTATGAAGTCTGAAATCTTGAAAATAAACATTTTAATTTATCTTATCAATTACTTTATTTTCAATCTGCTTATGATATAAAATGCATTTCTGGGGTGACAACCAGTAAATAATTAAAACAGCTAAAATTTCATCTCAGACTAAGGAGCTTTAAAAGTAATATTATTTTTACAATTTGAATTTTCCAATTTGTGTTATAAATTTTAACTGCAACAGCTTACTTCAAGGATAAAGCATTCAAATTATTCTCTATGACTAAAGCGCAAGCAAATGAAAAATTAAAAACCTACCTCATTATTATGAAGAGTAAGACACAATTTGCATTCATAGGAACCGAGATGATTTTTCATAAAATATGGATCCTGAAAAAGAAATATTTGTTTAGCGTATCAGAAGAACGAGAGCTGCAAAGTGGAGAAGCTCATCTCAAAATAATATTATAGGGCAAAATAAGAACAAAAATATACAGAGGTGCATAACATAATAAAAAGTTCCTTTTGCATACCAATAGTTCTTATGGTAAACTATTTCTGGGAAAATTTTTCTATTAATTCCCAAGCCAGATATTAAAAATGAATATGAAAGTTCATCAAAAATTAAATTTTTAAATCTATACCGGTATACACTTTTTTTTCTGATTTTTTTTTTTTTGTTGCATTTTTTTTTTTGTTTTTCCATAAATAAAATTTAATCTCTTTTACCAAGCCAGATATTAAAAATGAATATGAAAGTTCATCAAAAATTAAATTTTTAAATCTATACCGGTATACACTTTTTTTTCTGATTTTTTTTTTTTTGTTGCATTTTTTTTTTTGATTTTCCATAAATAAAGTTTAATCTCTTTTAATCAATGTAATTGAGTGAGGCCTTTAATTTAATAATCAATAACAAGGGTAAGGCTAACCAACCTTATTTAAATCTATGGTTTCCAAAGCCAACTGTCTAAGTCTCTCTCTCCTATCTCGATTGCTCTCAGATGCTGAGGCAACACCTCCTGTGCCAGTTTTACCTCCAGCTCGATGCTGAAAATCCATCTTTGATTTTCTTTTTTAATTAAGCTTACTTGCTTGTACAACTGAAATATTAGGTTCATTGAATTAGACGCATGATCACCAATTGAATTTGGGGAACATTGATTTAGACAAAAAATTATGCCCTCTGAATGCCAACTATTCCTAGGGCTCCAATGTATTGAAAGTGGGAGGAGGGGTTTCTGCTCCCCAGAATATTATGGTGAAATGTCCAGTGCAATGGCATAGTAAGGAATAGCATAGCATAGAAGTACTCTTTTTTTCAGACATTCAAAACAAAGTACATTGAGCGTGTCTTTTTTTTTCCACCAGTGTTCACAGGGAAAATTTCATTTTATAATTTAATTCAAATTAATTTTATTGATAATCAGATTTAGTTTATTACACAAATAATTCTCAGTGAAGAACGTGGAAGTTATAATTAAAAATAAAATACACATCCTTCAGGGCCAACAATTGATTTGACAATTCTCAATTGGTCTAGTCTATTCAACCTTACTCTAGGTACTTTGGACAAAAATGTTAACATTTTGTAAAAATAAACCAATGGCATAGTTGAATAGAGCTAATTTTTTACAGAATTATAACACCAAAATCATATTTTTAGCTATTGTAGTTTAAAATTTATGAATTTTTAAAGTACGACTTCGTTTGTCCTTTTTTAACATGGACTGCATCTCCCAATTCTGTGACCCAATTCCGCTGTTTGCATCATGAGCTATATAACTCTTGTTTTAATGATAATTTTATGTATAACAAAAAATTTAAAATAATATATGGCTTTTCTGTTTACCAAATCTACAGCGTCCATTATACCGGTATATGCTATATAGTCTATATAAGGCAACGCACCCCCTAAAATATTGTTTGTGATCTACTCATTTAGCACTTTCAAATTTGGCACATGACTAATTAACTAAAGCTTTCCCTGACCAATGGTGTTAATAGTTTTTGCACACGGCAAACTCTTATGAATGAAACTTAAGGTAGTACTACGGCATAGCATTATGCAAATGGCTGTGAATGGTTTCCCATGACTTTTTGCACACGGTCAATTCTGATCGTTAATAATATGGACTCCATCGGGTTTTTAAAGCTCAAATTTTAACATTCTAGTTAAAATGTCTTTAAAATGCATTCTGAAACACAAGTTATCAAATATTTTGATGTATATAGAGGTAATAATGAATATTTCCTAAGCTAAGTATCTGCATTTTCCACCATTTAAAAGGGGGTGGGATCACTAATCCAATATGGCCTGTGCAACCTTTGCAAAATGAGGTCAACATTGAGGAGAATTGTGAAAATGTTTCATGAGTTATCCCAATGAAATTTTGCACACGTGTACTTCAACAAATTATGCAGGCCTACTTTTAATATGAAAGACCTACTTAGAATATTTAGACCAAATTTTTTAATGCGAATATGCCCTATATTGACATATGATTTTCCTCACGTAAAGTTGAGATAAAGAACAAATTAACTCAATGGTAATGTAGTTCAACATTTCTCCTAATGTTAATGGGCGGAGTCAAACCTTAATTATGGGCCAAAAGGACTCCTACTTTATTCAAATTACATGCACATGAAAAAATTAAAAACTCGGATTCTACTGCGGCAACGCCCATTTCCGATACAAATTTATTAAGAGCGTCATTTGCTTCGGCGAAGTATCTACTTAGACTACTTAGTCCAGTGTTGTTGGTATTCCCCCAAAGTGATGCCACTGGCCTTAGGGTACGATAGCTCTAGGAAAAACCCATTCAGTTCATTACTAATTTCTAAAATTCACAATTTCTTAGGTCATTTCAACCCTGACCCTATTGCCTATCAAGGTAAAAGTAAGAAACAAAATAATTTCTGAGGATGGGCACTCATATGACAGACAAGACAATAAGCAAACTTTAATCGATTTTAAACAAACAAATACACTTGAAAAACAATAAATAAGTGTTATATTATAAATAACCATTTCCATTGTCGCCATCACTGAGTCAGTGAGTGAAGTAAACTGAAAGTGAAGTCAAGTGTTTAAATTTTAAAAATTGCCTGCAGTTCCATCAGTTCAGGCAAATAATAAGTCTTTAATGTATTGCACTTATATTAATTTATTGGGCTCAAAAATAGGGTTGCCGGTGCCTAAATGGTTTATGTAAACTGTGTTAGTTCTCACCAATTTACGCTATTTTCTGTGACTATTAAATGATCGTTGTAGAAACGATTGTTTAAATTACATTTGGTCCGAGGACGCCATTTTGATACACATGTAATTTCCGATTCCGATGTAAAGCTAATTACCAAAATGACTGATAAATGAATTTCCAAAATATTCATAACTTATGAAAAAACTGAGCTAGAAGGTTGTTCTTGTGGTGTATTTGTAAACTATTCAATGAGTTCTAATAATCTGTCACGAAGGTGACATTAAGAACTCTTTTACCGTCGTCTGCATTTGTTTGTATTAAAATCTTTGATTTTTATTAAGTGAAGCTCACGTTTTTATTTAGTTGATTAAAATGTACAGGGAATAGGGCTTAAGTTTGGAACAGTTTTTTTCTCTGCAAAGTAAGATTTCGCACCAAATAATATTATCTGAAACATCGAGAATTCTAGATCACAAAGGCTATTTTCAGCCTGCAAAGCAGTTAACATGATCTGGCCATTTAACGTATCTCAATACGCATCCGCATAGGCAGCGCATTATATTGTGCGACTTTTCTAACTTTAAAAAAAATGTTTCATGGTGATATTAATAATTAAAATAATCATTTTTGTTTCAAAAGTTAATTGTCTGCCTCGCCAAAATGAACGCTTGCAACTAACAACCAAAAATAATAAAACACTGGGGAAATGGAATACAAAAGTGTAAAAAAAAAAAAAAAAAAAAAAAAAAAAAAAAAAAAAAAAAAAAAAAAAAAAAAAAAAAAAAAAAAAAAAAAAAAAATTTTTTTTTTTTTTTTTTTTTTTTTTTTTTTTTGAAAAAAAAAAAAAAAAAAAAAAAAAAAAAAAAAAAAAAAAAAAAAAAAAAAAAAAAAAAAAAAAAAGCGAAATTCACTCTTTCTAATTGTATTCAACGGTGAGAATAGTTTCGAGTATGCCATTTACATTTAGAAATTCAGCTTTTTGAATTGTGTTTGCTTAAAATTAAAATTAGATAAATATTGAAATGTCGTTGTAGTGCAAGGCTATGTTGCTACCTAAGTCGGTTTGAAAAACCTCACAGTATTGAAAACAACAGACTGGAGAACAGCGCATGTAACTCCTATCTAAAAGAAAGGGGAGCATTCCGACCCCTGCAAACTATCGTTCGATATTCCTCACCAGCATGGTATGCAAACTATTGGAGCACATAATCGCAGTCATGAAGCATCTTGAAAGACAAAATTTACTCAATGACTGTCAACATGACTTCCGAGTCAATAGATCATGTTAGACCTAGCTCCTTGAATTTGAAGAAGACTTGATGACCAATCTAAAGAACAGCAAGCAAACTGACGTGCTGGTTATGGACTTCTCAAAGGCATTTGACCTTGTCAATCATATTTTACTTTTATACAAACTTCAGAGATATGGGATCCATGGCAATACTAAAGCATGGATCTCTAGCTTCCTCAGCAACCGTTGCCAAGCAGTAGTAGCGGACGGTACGACCTCCTTCTTTGTCAATGTTGTCTGGGGTCCCCCAGGGCTCAGTGTTAGGCTCAGTGCTAGGCCCCTGTTTGTTCCTAGCATACATTAATGACCTACCCAAGAAACTGACATCCCAAGCCAGACTATTAGCAGATGACATGACGGTGTATAGGACGATCGCCAACTGATCTGACCAGAACCAGATACAACAGGATCTCATCAATTAGCTAAGTGGGAGATGAGCTGGGATATGGAATTTCCACCTGCCAAGTGCCAGACACTGTCAGTCTCTAGAAGTTGTACTCCTTAACACTACCATTATGATCTGCATGGTCATATACTTGAGCCAGTTTCCTCCGTAAGGTATCTGGGTATTACTTTCAAAGGGAGTTCCGCTGGGACGAGCATATTATCAATGTGAGCAACCAGGCAAACAAGACCCTGGGGTTCTTAAGGCGTAATCTAAAGATCGGCAAATTCAGTGAGAAAGAAAGAGCATATAAAGCCTTTGCCTTTTAGATTATGCATCTTCAGTCTGGAATCTAATTACCAAGAAGAGCATCAGCAGGTTGGAGGCGGTCCAGCGACGGGCAGCACGATCTGTCCTGAACCGCTACAGGAATACCTCTAGGGTAGGAAGCATGCTAGAAACACTGGACTGGTCACCATTGAATGAACGATGACGACTATCCAGGCTCTCCATGATGTACAAGATATATAATGGGCTGGTCCACTGCTCCAGCATTAACAGAAACTCGTCCCTCTCCCCCATAGACAGCGACGAGGCCATGACAGGCAGTTCCAGCTCTTACCAGCGAGAAGCCAGTATAGGAACTGCTCATTCCTGTCAAAGAAAATGAGGGACTTGAACAAATTTCCAAAAGGAAAAGGTGAGGCGACAACACTTGACACATTTGCGTCTATTGCCTCAGGCCTTCCAATCTCCAATGGATGATACCCTCACTATGTAGCCCTTCTAACCAGTGAAATACTTCATCAACACCAGGCACAGAAACATTGCAAATCCCCTCTAAATGATTAGGGACCAGAATTATCAATAAATTGATCGTGGGCCCTTAATATATATAAGAAGAAGAAACAAGCCAAAAAGAAAACAAGATTTCACATATAAGTTGACAGAGATAAATTGATTTTGAAAATGTTCAAGTTAGGATAAAAATTAATGAAGTTTTATGATAAAACTTAATTTAGCTTAACATTTATAATCTTCTAAGAATTAAAAAAAATAAAAATAAGTAGTATTTCAATACAAAGTTTTAGCCAACATATATATTTTTTTAAAATATAAATTATTATATTCCTAAGATATTTAGTTTTATAATTGAATAAAGCACAAATGCGAGGGCACAGGTGAATGGGTGGGAAAAGGGGGGGGGGGGATTGCCAACAATCCCACCTAACTCAATATATTTCCCTTCCCTCCTCAATCAAAGAGGTCAAATAAAAATAAGTATTAATTTTAAAAGTAAATTCTACACAGATCATTAAATTATATCGTCTGTTGTAAGTGTAATTTTTCAATTATTATTTTTATTTTCTGGTTCACTAAGTAATATTTTGGCAAATAGCTTGATGTTTACTTGTTCTCTAAAAACAATTTTAAATTAAAATATTGTCTACTATGATAATTTTAATTAATTATAAATTTAAGAAGTTTTTTAGATGTAAAGATAATTTTTTTTAAGAGCTCAAACAATAAAGAGTCCAATCTACACGAGACTCCCCTGACTACCGGTGAAACAATATGGCGGCGTAAACATATACTGGAATTTCAAACCATTTTCAATATCAAGGCCATGCAAAAAAATTAATGTTGTCCTAAATACTTTTTATCCCCTAATATGGGATAGCTTTTTTAAATATTATAAAATAATATTTTTAAATCTTCCATGGATGTGTAAATTTAGTGAGTCATATGAATTAAAATCATCGTCTGCTGAGGCCTGAGTCTGAGTCTGAACAGTGAATCATTGAAATGATGATTGCATCTCAAAATTTCTTCAACGATTGATTTGAATTCATTTTTTGCCTATTTATATATTCATAAATGTTTGCAAACTATCCATCATTTAAGACTACTGAGAATTAGTAAGTTTTACTTTTGGAATAAGTAGTCCATTGCCATTACTTTTGAAGATTATAGTTAAAGTTATAGGACCCTAGGTCTTAGGCCTACACCTTCTTCTAGCCTAGACTCTAGGACGACCTTCGTATTTAATTTTCAAAAATAAAATACATGACAAATAGGGCTAACCTCCAAAAAGCTCAAATTATAAAATAAAAAATTAGGCTCCTAAGACTACTAATAAAGATTAAAACTTATTCACTCTATTTTGGCTTTTTTTTTTTTTTTTACAATATAAACAAGATGTCTTAATTAACTGACAAAAATGTTACAAATTTCAAGTGAATTTTATTTTATATTTCAGTTTCAGCTTTCCAATTAATTCTTTCAATACATTTTCTCCTAAATTCCCTACTATGATCACCTCTTGTTAACTTTTAATCGTTATCTTCCTCTGTTAAATTATCATCATCTTTGTTTTAGCTTCTCATTATGTCTGTTAATAAAATTCAACATATATTAATCCCTTCCATTTTCATCAGGAAATAAGAAATGCCCATGAACTGACAAAATGGACTCTGTAGTACCAGGCAGTAAGTTGGAGGATGACCATAGCTTGCCTCCCACCCAAGAAGAGATAAGAAAGAAGCGTTTAGAATACTTTAGATTGACACAAGGAGGTGTGAATTCAAATAAAGTCTTTCAGCGCCAAAAGCCAGCAGACAATGCCATAGTATCAGCTACCCTTCCTATAGATGATAATGATAACCACAGGGATTCAAAAGAAATTTTACTAGATAGCTCTTCAATTATTTTAAAAAACCCTTTAACAAACACACATCCCTATGCAGAACAAATAACTCTGTCTGGAAGGTTACAGAAAGCACCGGATACTAAAGAAATATCAATTCCTACAAAGTATCAAGATTTAGCATTGCAGACTAGATCCCTAGTTGAGAAGTTGAATAAAGAGATTTCAGGCTCGGAAGCTTTCAGTGTTATGAATAGCATTGGTGATGTGGATGAATTAGGTTTAAAAACACACAGACCAGGCTTCCACAATGAAGCTAATTTTGTACAAAAAGAGAGAGAGATACCTTCCAATGAAACTCAAGGCCAAAGCAAGGCATCTAAAGAACTATTCAGCCCAGAAATACAAGAACAGATGAAAAGTGCACTTGGAGATAAAGGATTGCAAGAGCTGATGTTAAAAGTTGAAAAGGACATAGAGCAGTTGCATAGAGGGAGATCATTCAATAAAAATTTTAACAGGGAGGGTATTATTAAAGATCAGCATCCAACTCTATCGAGTTTTGAGAGCACAGATCAAATGCATGAGGAATCAAATCCTGGTAGTCAGATCTCAGGTAAAACTCATTTAATAACCAAAAATTTAGAACAACTGAGGGAGGGAGAGAAAGATGCATTTAAGCAGCTAAGAAATTATGATCAAATGATTGTACCAAGAAATACAAAAAATGCGTTCTCAGCTGATGAAATTTACAGGCAAGCTTATGGGGATAAAGCAGAAAGTGCTTTATTTGAAAAGCCACTGAGCAGGAACACTGACCCCATGCTCAACTCAACCAACCAGAACTCAAGACAGTGGCTAAATCATGCAACAGGACATTCTGAGTATGCTCACCCAAATGAGTCGTACTATTCTCCCATTAGAAAACTATCACATGATGGTTCTGTACAAACAGGAAATATCCCACCCTTTGTAAGCACTCACAACCAATTTGCATATCCACCACCTCAGTACTACTCCAGAAGTTTTGACTATCCTGGTCCTGTAAGTCCCCACTCATCAGCTTTATATGGGTCAGTACATGAAGGTCAGCACCAGTTTTATCTAAGCTCTCACAATCAACAACAAAAACTACCCCACCAAGATAACAGCTACACTATTGCTCCTAATTTTACATCAAATATGCCAACAGATACATTATCTATCACATCCTCTCCTCGTACATATAATTATCCCCCTCCTCCTTTCCACAACTATTTTGGGGTCCCTAAATTTCGAGACGGTGTTCCACTGCATCTTCCACCACCTCCACTTCCATCAAATTCCAAGTCACAAGAGTATGGGAGCCCACTGCAGTTTTTTCCTCCTCATCCTCCACCCACAAGTGCCCGGCGACACAGCAACCCTCATATTGGATCTTCAGGACACCAGGTGAGCTTTTAGGTTTTTGATGGACACTTGTTTTTGAACTTCTGTGTCACTATTTAGACTCAATGTTTCCTCAGGGGGGCATTTTGAAGATTATGAGGGAATATTTAGTCTCTAAGATAGGTAATGTATTTTGATTTCAAAAAAGGTTAACCACTGTTATTATTTTTCATTTATTGCAATACAAATATATTTCACTTGTACATTTTATCTTAAAATTTTTTGAATCATGAGCAGGCTGCAAAATTCAAATTTAACTTCTTTGACTTGAAGACCTGAAGACCTCTTTTTTTTAACTTTACCTTGAAGGGTGGTAATTGGGTGAAACCCTCTTAGGTGCCAAATGGGGCATAAAGGTTGGGAATCATTGATTTAGATAAAATAAGCAAAAGCTGGTCGTATAAGAAGCTTAACGAAAAGGATGCTGATTACTTTTACTAGGAAATACATTTTAGTATGAGATTAAAAAAGAGAAAATCCAATTATCATTTCTTGGTTTCAAAGCCACTGTCATCAGCCAAATGGTCGTCATTTATTAAATTTTACTCTTCCTTCCAGCACCTTGATTTTTCTGCTGTTAACTCAGTTCTACTCAAGAATCCACACCCACCTCCTGTTCCGCCTGCTCTGCATCGTAAAGAGCCAGTTTTTTCTAATTCAGAAAACAGGTGAAAGTTAGATTGCATGCTAGATTATTGTCACTAATACAATTTTATGTACAATGATCATCTTTCAAAATTTTGTAAGAAAATATATCAGACATTGTAAGTAAAAGCTAAAAATATTCTGGGAGAGCACTTTCATATTTCCTGGAGCTATAATTAATTCAAAGTAGTTTTTAATCTTATATCGAGAATTTATTCATGCCAAGTCTAACTTCTAAAATTGATACAAAAATTCAAGTGTTAAAAAAATCATCAGCTGTTTCAGTAGAAGCAGCCTCTGTGAAAATTTTTTTCTGTTAATGAGACTATCTATTGGATTTGATTGATTTATAGACATGTCCCATCCATTTTAGGTATAATGACAGTTACAAATTTTTGTTCTTTGATTTTTATCTCTATATTATGGTACAGGCCCATACAGGCTTAAAAAAAAGTATTTAAAACTTAAATAGAAATAATAGATGCCTTATGATATGGCTCCGCAATCTAAGACGGCACAATAAAAAAATATTACTTTGAAGAAAAACATATCTTTATAATTATGCTTGGGCATGCCGCTAAATAAATTTATGGTTTTATTTCAAAGATTGCCTGTGTATGATGATTGTCACTAGTATTGAACAGGATGTATGCATTTAACTAAATGAAGGTCTTTCACCTGCATTTAGATCTGGATTTACCTTAATTGCCACAAGAACAGAACCCTATCTCAAAGTTGGACTGATTTTTTACTTATCAGGACAGAACTAATTAAAATGACTACTTATAACATTACATTCAACTTCTTTTACTACAATAACTCAAAACTTATTACAGTGGACCCACAATATTCATCCATGTCGATATAAATATTTTTTTTATATTCGTCCTTTTTTTTTTGTGTTGAAACTTTTGTTTGATATTGGAACGAAAATTCAATATTTGTCCCACCTGCCCGTGACTCAATCAGTCTCAGGCAGTGATTTTAAGTACCATTTCATTTCTTTTTAATATTTACACATTTTTTGCACCTATTTTTTAAAGAAACATGTGACAATGGTGTTCATATGACCATGGTGTACATGGGACAGTGATGCTCATGTGGTGTTCATGTGAAAGCGGTGTTTATGTGACAGGGGTGTTCGTGTGAAAGCGGTGTTTATGTGACAGGGGTGTTCATGTAAAAGCGGTGTTCATGTGACCATAGTCGTTGTTTGCTTGTTTCATGAGTTTGAAGATTTTTAATTTTTTTTTTTTAGAGTTGAGCCCCTTGTTTATTGCTGTAAACTTTATACAGTGAGGCAGATGCCCGGTGACTCCCATACCAAGCAATAGCCTAACCTCTATAAAATAAAAAGTCTTTACAATAATCATTTTTTTTCTCCTGCCTCTTGTATAATTATTTAATTTATACTTATTTGTTGGTTTTTTTTTTGAACTGATGAAGGCATGTGCCAAAACGTACACTTGTGATTATGTAAAATTATTATTAAAGCTTCCTTATATTGTTATATTGACACAAATTGTTCATGTCTAATTAATATATTTTAAAACTTTATCACAGTCCAAAACTTTTTATAATTAGTTAATATAACCATGAACCTTGGGTATGTGAGGGAACACACATATATCACTTATTTCTTTGTTTGTTTGCTTTAATGGCTTGGGAGGCAGGGAGGGATAAAGTGGTTTCTCAAATGAAGGTAAATTTATGGTTGAAATTTTATTTATGTTGTAGTCCTGCAGTATATCTAAGGCATCACGACGGTCAAATCTCTGTCATAATGATAAAGCATTAATAGTGGTTAATACTTAATTAAAATGTCTTTGCGATGATTTCCGGGATTGATTTGCAAGTGAAATTTTTTTTAATCTGAAGAATAGATGGACAAAATTCGAGGCTGGGAACGGATTTAACCATTTTTAGTTAATTTCTATGTACAAAAATATGTTTGATATTTGTCCTTTCCACGCCAGAATGGATTAATGGAGAATATTGAGGGTCCACTGTACTTACAATTACAATCATTTTATGCGAACATTTGTTAATGCCCCAACTAATTTCAGAATGTTGAGTGTATTGATATTTTTGTTTCAAATTTACTTTATGTTGTTAGTTTTTAGTTTAGGAAAAAAAATAATGTATGTTCCTTAACTAAATGTCATGTCGAAAACATCTGTGTTTTCAATCACTTCTAAGACTCATGTCATAAACGTTTTTGACCCAGATACCCCTCAGTGGTTGGCATGCAAACCCCTATACAAAAACAAGCACCTGAAGTCTACAGCATCCACAGCCAGTCTGGAGATACGACCGACTTCAAGCTGCATAAGTATTTTGCATCACTTGAACCTCAGGATAGCAACACGATGGTACCAGAGCTGGTCCTGAGTTCAAGTCACATCTCAGAGGACACCCATCGCAATGAGGACGCCGTGTCTATGTTTACTGATGCTGGGTCCATGTTTACCGATGTGACATCTGCGTACACGGCTGAGGGTGTGACGGGGCGTCTGAAAGGTCTCGGTATTGATTTGAATCACTTGAAGCATCTTAGGATTATAGAGGATAAGGGGAACAAAGTAACCCCGGGGGCTGATTTTGAAACCTTGTCGAAAGGTATCAAGTGCTGCCCTGAGTGTGGCTCATCCAACAAGGGGTACATGGACTGGTGTGGGGCCTGTGGAGAGGTCCTCATTGGGGTCGAGATGACCATGCCTGTAAGAAAAAGCAAAAGTTCCAGTGGTAGAGAGAAGAGGACAAGAGGTGGCACCAAAATGAGTCAAGGTGTGCGTGTTTCACAGCTGGATCTGGGAGACAACCTTCAAGACTTTTCAGAAGATTGCAGCTCACACAGATATATCTACCCTCATAAAGATTCACCAGAGTCTGGTCGGGGGCAGTCACTGTCCAACTCCCCAGATCGGAACGATAGGCACAATGAGACTGACCATCCCATGGACAGCGGACGGGCTTCAAGTGGAGATGTCAGAGAAGTAACAGGAGTTTGGGGAGAGGAGAAATCGTCAGGGTGTGAACAAGACCTTGATGCCCTTGATAAAGCACCAGGGTGTGAACAAGACCTTGATGCAGTTGATAAAGCACCAGGGTGTGAACAAGACCTTGATGCCCTTGATAAAGCACCAGGATGGGAAATCTCCCAGTCCCAGTTGTTTGATCAGATCAAAGACCCCGTGTTGAGGCAGATTGTCCTGGCCTATAATAAAAAACAAATTTCGGGCAGAACTGCAGACACGAATGAGAGAGAAGCTGGTATAGTAAAAAGTAATCTGATGGAGAAGGGTGCAGAATCATTACAAACAGGCAGAACACTGGATGATAAACTACCTCATTCTGTGACTTTTGATAAAATTACAAATCCCCAAAGCCATGAGACAAAGCTTGCTCCAGAAATGATCAGCTGGTTGCAGGGGCATCAAGTATCACAGATGGAAAGCCATAATGGAACCTACAGCGAACCTAACTTTATCGAAGCGGATAGGGGAAAAGCAGCTGAGCCCAAGAAAGTCAAGAAGAGAAGGAAAAAGAAGAAGCAAATAGATGAGGCTATGGATATTGAAATTTTTGGATATGAAGAATCTCATCAAAGTCGCAACTCAAGTCGTATCGCTAATAACCTGATAGTTCCGATACTAAACCTTGCATGCACTAGTGATGAGGAAGAAACTGACACCGACGTCAGTGATGCTGATGATGATTTCAAAATTACTGGAGACGTATCACATAAGTTTGTGAATCAGCCAGATGCAGACAGTGAGGCTGCTCTGGTGCCATCACAAGGCTCCGGCCCTCATGTCAGTATAAATAAGAACAGAAGCAGTGTGAGGCTTCAACAGATCACCAGTGTGTCCCCACCTCCCGTTTCTTTAAGTCAGTCAAAGGCTTCAAACAATAATAGAGTTGGGTGCAGTAGTAGTGGACCGACTAGATACCAGCGGCATTGGGCAAGATCAAGTATTGCCTGGGGCTCATTCCACCCTCGTGAGCTTAGTACTAGGTGAGTGACAGGCTGATTAACACTGTACCATACCAGCTTAGTACAAGGTAAGTGACATGCTAATTATAACTGTACCATTCCAGCTTAGTACTAGGTAAGTAAGTGACAGTGTCATGAACACTGTACCATACCAGCTTAGCGCTAGGTGAGTGACATGCTTATTAATACTGTACCATACCAGCTTAGTACAAGGTAAGTGACATGCTAATTATAACTGTACCATTCCAGCTTAGTACTAGGAAAGTAAGTGACAGTGTCATGAACACTGTACCATACCAGCTTAGTGTTAGGTGAGTGACAGGCTTGTGAACACTGTACCATACCAGCTTAGTACTAGGTAAGTGACAGGCTTATGAACACTTTACCATACCACCTAAGTACTATGTGAGTGACAGGCTAATGAACACTGTACTTGTACCATACCAGCTTAGTGCTATGTAAGTGACAGGCTAATGAACACTGTGCTTGTACCATACCAGCTTAGCGCTAGATAAGTATCCAGATAAGTGACATGTTAACCAATGCTGTACGGTACCAATACGGTACCAATAAAACTAATCAACACCAACACACAGAAGAACTTTGAACAATCAAATATATCAAAGTTCCATTCCCTAATTGAGCATGAAGAGTTATTTCCCATGGAATGCTACCAACTACTAGACGGTTGACTGCCAAAAGTAGCATTGCATTAATTGTTTTAAATGTTGTACATTATATCTTGTTGTTTTTTTACCTGGTATGATAAAAAATGTTTGTTTCATCCCTCTATTACTGACAAGATTTGAATTTTTTGCTTACACATTATTTCCATTAGAAACCTGAAAAAAAAATGTCTTAGTTAATTTTGATCTAGTATGTTTTTAACCAAATAAAATTTTTATTTGAGAGATAGGCCTACATTTTTTTTCTTGCAAGATGATGGGTTTAGTATGCAATCATTTTGTTATGATTTATTGTTTGAATCCATCAATGTACAGCAGGCCTGCACAACATATGGCCCGTGGGCCGCACGTGGCCCGGCAGCTCCCACTTGGCGGCCCGTGAAGTGACGAAATATTCTTTATTATTATTATTTTCTAAATAGCTCTCCACCTTCTCCTATCATCTTTCAGCTCACACAAGCTTTCATAAAGTATTACGGCCCGCCTTACATTTTGAGCAGGCCTGCTGTACAGCAATTTGTTGATCGATTTAGAGTTTTTAATATTGTGTAGGGTGAATCTCTTGAAGCTGTCATTTCCAAATCACCATTTCCAAATCACCAGGTCCAGCATAAACAACATGCCTCATCAGAATGTTAATGGAAACCCAGCATCTGCCAAAATGAGCCGCAGCGCTACAGCTTTTGGTGAAGTAGTGACTGACCGTGGAATGGGCCCCGGCAATAATGGATCGTCCATCGGGTCACATCCAGTGAGACAACGTCCAGCAAGTGCTGAATATGGACCAAGGTGGGTTTAACTAAGGAATCATGTTGCTCACAGCAGCCACTACGCTATGGTGTTAAATTATGACTTTATCATGGCATAATATCATGTTGCTCACAGCAGCCACTAACGCTATGGTGTTAAATTATGACTTTATCATGGCATCATATCATGTTGCTCACAGCAGCCACTACGCTATGGTGTTAAATTATGACTTTATCATGGCATCATATCATGTTGCTCACAGCAGCCACTAACGCTATGGTGTTAAATTATGACTTTATCATGGCATCATATCATGCAGCTCACAGCAGCCACTAACGCTATGGTGTTAAATTATGACTTTATCATGGCACCATATCAATGTTGCTCACAGCAGCCACTACGCTATGGTGTTAAATTATGAATTTATCATGGCATCATTCATTTTTATATTGAAGTTAAAATGTAAACTGATTAAAGTGACCATATGTTGCTCTTATTGGATTGCTGCATAAATTAATCTTATGTGAGCATTAGTTATAAGCATCATGAATACAAATATTTATATCATGATTTTCGAGGCTGAAGAAGTTTGCATATGTATTAAAACTGTGTTGTAGATGTCAGAAGATCTTATTTTTAGTCAGTATGTCATAAAGTTTTGCTCTTGAAAAAACCAGACTGGAAAATGTGTAGCATTAATGTCATTCTCAGTTACTTGGAATAAAACACTCATATTTATAGGAGACAATGTGAAATGGCTGATACAATTTAATTTATTTTATTGATTTTAGGCGGTCTGAAGATTTTAATCGCCGCCCAAGGCCTTCAAGCGCAAAGTTCAGAGCTGGGTATTTGGGACAGCAGAGCAGTAGGCTAATCCCAGAACCTCCTAGAGCGGTCAAGACTATGTCACCAACCAGTAGTCAGAGAGTGCCAACAACCCCACTTAAACCAGGGTAAACAACAAAGCTAGGATAACCCAGGGTTAGAAAGTAAAATTTTAAAAATTAACATTTAAAAAGTAGAGAGGATTCATGAAATGGCCGTTAACCAGATAACCAACTTACTCCTTTTTCAAGACATTCATCAGGGTCTCAAACAGGAGAAGGAATGCAGCCATAAGTATTTTTCCTGGGCCAGTGGTTCAAAGGGAAAAATGAATAGACATTTTTTCCTTTTTTTTTTTTTTAAATATTGAATTCACCAATTAATGTGTACCACACCCTCCTCTCCTATGATTGGGAAAAAGCTGTTTAAATTCTAATTTGTTCTAAATAATTATATCAGGTGATGCAACCCATCATAAATACTGTTATTTTAGTTTTTGATCAATAAATGTTGAAATTCATGGTTTAGAACTATTTTTAAAAAATATATATAATAGAATTGTTCTTTGTGCATTCTATTAATAATTTTATTCTTTGGGTTCCTTATTTATTGGAAATGGAAGTTTACTTTTTATAACTTATTTGGCGTTATATGATTTCAAATGTGTAGAACATGTAAATCACTAGACCTCACCTTTTTAATACCCAAATGAAAATTAAAAACTTAAAACGGGACTGTTAATCTTATGACTTTTAAGATTTTTTTAATAATTCCTTTCATTTCTTATGCATTATTTTTGCTGATTAGATAAGTTTGAGTTTAGACAAACATTTTAAATTCCAAATTTTAATTTAAAACTGGTTGATAAATCTGACTTTGCTTTTCCAGCTCTCCACCACAAAGGCCAGCTTCAGCTGCTGGTAGTCTGCTCAGTGATATAATGTCAACCAACTCACCCTTGCCCCAGACAGACAGGGTGGATGCTGATAGCAGCAGGCAGACTTGCCAGGGGGCTGATGACTCACCAAGACTATTGTGTGCAGAACTTCACAGGCTTCCTCATGAAGTTGTCGAGGAGCTTCACCCAGCAGGCAAGACTGTTAAACTTTTTTTTTGTGCTGCTGTACATACCTGCGAATAGGTGACATTTTCCAGAGATGCCCTTTGATATCTTTAACATTCCTGTATCTTTGATTACAGTTCTGACCTGTCATCACGGAGTCTGGATCTTGGGAAATTTCTTTGAACTAATATGTTGGCTCTTACTTTCTTGATTCTTTTCTAGCTGTTTACATCTACTGATGAGGTTATCTTCAGGCTTTGTTTGTATCATACAAAACACTTCATCATACCTCAAGCATTACTCAACCTGTATTTCATGCTTTATTTCAGTCTGCTTGTATATTTGAAACTGTTTTCATTGTGATTTAAATTAATATCTTTGTATGAAGTTAGGATTAAACTTTGGATCATATATGATTTTTTTAACAACTTGATTTTAGTTTTTCCACCTACTTTTCTAAAAAAATAGATAATTAACAACCTGCATATAACAAATTTAGAGCTTAAAATTTAAGAATTGAAAATCAAACCATAAGCAGATCATAGCGCTTAAAAGTTTTTTGTTTCAAAATATTGTGAGACATTTAAATTGCAGGCTGCATGTCATACATGTGTAACAGTTTTTTATATTTTTTTATTCAGATAAGCTTCATGCTGTTGCGAAAAATACTTATGATAAATTGCAAGAAATGGTAAGTTTTTGTGTCTTATGAATAATATACAGGCGACTATGTTCAAATAAATAGTGGAACAAGAAATGTTAATGCTCTGTATAGAATTTTGGCTTCTGCCTGACGAGCCTCATTGTAAACTGGGAACAATTGAAGTTTTTAAATCAAAATAAGTTGTTATTTCTTGCTTTACATTGGCTGCTGAAGAAGGCATTTAGCCAAAATTGCTCTTGTCTTTTTTTTCAAGCCTGTACATATCTTATTCCACTATTTATGGTAGTCTAATGAAGACACTTAAATGTAACGGATCTGTTTTCTTGTCCTGAAGCTTTGCAGTCAATGTGTCAAATCTGCTCTTGTTATTTAAGGCACATGATCATCATATACAATCTTATGTGAAGCGATTTTTGTCAATTCTGTTGTAAAATGATAGAGAATCAAGGAACTGCTTACAATTTTCTGAATTAGAAAAAAAAGAATACTATGATCACTCTGAAATTAACTTATTTCTGTTTCATACATCATTTTTGTTCCTGGTTTGCTGTGGTTATTATGTTGGCTTCTAATTTTTTTGTGTGTACAGGTTGGTTGTTTTTTGTAGTTTGTGTACAGAGTTTCAACGCTAGGAGGTTGACATGCGTGCCCTTGTCACGTGGCCTACTTGTTGATATTATAAATGACAAAATAGTTGAATAATGAATATTTAAAAAAAAAATGAAAATGGAAGTTATAGAGTATTAAACTTGTTTCATCCATCCGTCCATCTCTGTGGTGTCAGAGCCTTTGTAGTGCTTTGACCTGCCTCACCATTTTCCTCCATTCAGACAACTGACTCTTTTCTTTTCCATGCTTGGATTCCCAGCTGCTGTAGATCTTTTTCCACATTATCCATCCATCTTAGCCTAGGTCTACCATTGTGCCATTTTTCTCTTAGGTTTTCTCTTCACTCCTTCGTCATTTGTCATTCTTTCTAAGTGTCCCGCCCAGCGTAGCCTGCCCTTTTTTATTTCTGCTGCTATCGTGGGATTCTGATATAGTCTATACAATTCTTGGTTGGTTCGTATTCCCTATCTATATTCATCCTTTGTTGGTCCATATAGTTTCTGGCAAACTTTCCTCTTCCATGTGTCTAATAGGTTTTCTGCCATTTTTGTTAGG